AAATAGGCTAGTCAGTGGTTTATTTTGTGGATTAGTATGCAATACTCAGCAGAAATTTGGTGGTTCAAATTTCAACCCCGTACGTAGAAAAGAGTTCTGATTCAATTTCAGCTCTAGATCAACATCAATCCTACTATAAGAATAATCATCGCTTTATTGATTATTAGTTTTATCTGCTGATTATACCTTGAGTCTTATATGATTTTAAGATACTTTGATTTAATCACTAGATTTGCACCATTCAGGTTCAGTCAACCTGATCCTTATAAATTCTTAACCAGATTCTGCAAGAGAGGAGATAAGATTTCTTCTGAGGAAAGTCTTTTGTTACTGTGCTGATACTGTATCCTCCAGTAGCACTGCGTGTATCACACGACTCCTCAGCTGCAGTCTATCCATCTGTAGTTTGTTTTATTCTATATAGACGAATCGCCTGTATAATTGCTTCATAGGAGGTGCTGTCTTAGGCTCCCTCTACATCGAGAAATGCACCAGTGATCACCTCTGGGTTTTTCAGAACGTACATCCTGTGTACGAGATGTTGCAGTACCAGTTCCTTAGAGAGTCCTATTTTATAATAATAATATCTCTAATGTATCGGACTTTCAACCAATATACCATCCTTAATTTACCTATCGAGCAGATTTTCTAGAATATTCAGTCCAAATGACATATTACTATCGACCTCAGGGACTTAGCTTCTTCCTATTCAGTTTTGCTAGGTTTTGGTATAAAAGCTACCCTTATGAGCATCCATTCTTATGATATAATCCCCACTTCTAAGCTTACTTGTAATATCATAAGTAACTTTTTGGTACAGCTTTCCACTGTGTAGAAATATTGGGTAAATCCATTCGATTTTATGCTGACATACCATCTCTTTTGTCATTCTCCAGTTTTCCTTAGAATCCTGAGTTTTGGTCTTCAGTGAAGTGTGCTGCCATAATGTGTCTATTCGTATCAATTTTGTTTTAGGAAAGTGCAGTCTGTTTTATCTCTGTTTAGTTTCTGCAGTTTGTTTTATCTCCTTAAAATACCTTTTCCACGATTGTCGTTTTGCTCTTGTCAGATCCTTATTATATTCAGTCAGAACTTCAATGCACATTCGCAAAACTGACGAAAATCAGTTAATTGTTATCTCTCACTAGCTACCAGCTAACTATTCTTCAATCTCTCTTTGTGGTGGTTGTTCGAGATTATCATTATGGAAGATATGCTAATTTGAGAATCATATTTATGCTCCCTATCTCTGTGATTGTCATCTTTACCGTCGTTAAATATCCGAAGCAGAAATTCTTGAACGTATTTTAGTATGCGGTTTGATATTTACACAGGTTCTCGTTAATTTGGCAGATAGACGATATATTAAGATCTCCAGTAATGTACAATAGATCTCTTCTTTGTACCCAGTAAACTCAGAACTCAAAGTTATTTCGAACTTTCTCATAGCAACAGTAAGTGCTGTCGAATCTGCAGGACTCTGACTGGAGCCATCAAAGGCCCTTTACCGTTCTACGTTTGTAGTACGGCTTCAAGAGTTCCGGTCCTTTCAAGAATTGTTGGATTGCGTTAATACGACAGACAAAAAAATGGGTCTAAAAATGAATGTATCTAAGACAAAATTTATGATATTCAGTCGCCAACCTCACGACAGTATTTCTCTACAGATAGATTAACAAAACATTGAGAGAATTCCTCCAAGAAGGTTGGCAACCTTCACGGCAATTCGCACTTTCGACGCCGCTGCTCTAAAGACGTCAGCAGAAGTGCAGTTAAACCAAGCTCTCAAATTATTCAACCAGGAGATGCGTCTTCTTCCGCGACTCCTACCTTGTATTCTTCCTTGATTTATTAATGGCAACTATATATATATATGACTTTAACTATATTTAAGACCTCTTTATCTTTTCCCATTCTTCTCAACACCTCGACATTCGTGACTCTATCTACCCAACTTATTCTTAATATCCTTCTGTAGACCCATAACTCGAAGGCTTGCAATCTGTCCGAAACATCTTTCCAAGTCCAAGCCTCCAATCCATAAAACAATACGGAGAACACGTAGCATCTTAGAAGTCTTATCTTTAAAGAAATTGAAATGTACCTGCTGCAAAGTACTTTTTTCAGTTTGTTGAAAGAATTTCTTACCTGTCTTATTTTTGCCTTAATCTCTTCTGTGTACTCATTATTTTCATTAATTATTGTACCCAGATATTTATATTTTTCAACTTTTTTAATTTGTTCTCCATGTATTGTTATGTTTTCTTGGTGCTGTTGGGCTTTTGTAATTATCATAAATTGTGTCTTTTCTGTGTTTAGGGACAGTCTGTTTTCTTCACTGACTTCTACCACTCTGTCAACCATTTGTTGTAAATCCTCAAGGCATTCCGCTAATAAAATAGTATCGTCGGCAAACCGTATATTATTGATTGCCCGGTCATTTACTTTTATTCCCACAGTTAGTTCTTCTAGCGCTTCCTAGATTATTTCCTCTGAATACAAATTAAACAAAGTAGGAGACAGGACACAGCCTTGCCTGACGCCCCTCTCAATCTGTATTTCATTTGAAAAGACGTTGTTCTCTTTTACCACAGCGATCTGATTATAATATTTATATTATAATTTATATATATATATATATATATATATATATATATATATATATATATATATATTATTATAAAATATAATTTATATTCTTCTATAACCACACCTTAAACCTGAAATTACGTCAAAGAATAATCAAATATTATTGGTCAATGTTGTTACATAGCACCGAGATCTGGACTGTGAAGGCCGATGAACCGCCTAGAGTGTATGAGATGTGGTTGCATAGAAGAATGTTCCGAATACTTTGGTCAGCAGTGCAAATCAACGACTGAGCTAAATAGAGCAAATGCCATTCGTGATTAAAACTATTAAAGTAAGAAATATTTTATTCCCAGGACATGTTCTTACAGGAAACCGATGCAGTATTCTTCAGCTTACAAAGAAAAATAAAATCGAGTACCGCAGAGAAATTAAAAAGATTCTGATGTCATGGCTCAAGAACATTCGCGATTGGGCATGAATACATAGTGCTGAACATCTATTTTAATTAGCTGAAGACCATGAACATTTTGTCAATGTAATTTCGAACTTAAGGGGACCTAATATGGCACAAAAAACGAAGAAGAATATGCCTTAACAGGAGTAGTCCATTGAGAATACTAGAATTTGTCGATCCCCCAATTGTTATCTTAGACGGGTCCTGTAGATAACATTTCCCTGGCGAACTCCTCTGTTGATTGGTATAGCTTTGGTTTTCGTATCAATTTGTATTTTCATTGTAACTTTCTTGTAAATATTGTATATGAGCATTATGTATCGGGAGTCTACCCTGCAGTTGTCCATAGCTCTCTCTATTGCCCAAAGTTTTATGGAGCCGTATGCGTTTTTATAATCAACGAAGCCAATATATAAGTTAAAGTGATATTCATTGGCTTTTCTATTAGAGTTCTGACTGTAAGAGATGATCCGCTGCACTGTAACCTTTTCGGAATCCTGCCTGCTCTACCGGTTGATAGCTATCGAGCTTCGACGTTAACCTGTTAGTTATTACTCTCATAAACAATTTGTACATTTGGGACAGCAGGGAGATTGGCCTATAGTTCTTGAGATCTGCCCTGTCTCCCTTTTTGAAGAGAAGTATTGTCAAACTTTCTTTCCAATCATCTGGGACTTCTCTGTGAAGACATTCTTTAAAAAGTTTTTTCATTTCTTCGAGAATAATTTCATTTCCCTCCTTTAACATTACTACAAGTATTCCATCTGGACCCGGAGCCTTATTGTTCTTTACTTGTGCCATGGCTTGTTTTACTTCGAAGGATTCTATATTAGGGAGTATTTTTGAGTTGACATTCGTTATCTTTTTCTTAAGGTCTTCCTTTGCAGTGTTATCTGGGTTCTTGTTTAAGGAAAATAAATCACGGTTAAATGTTTGAGTAACTTTTAGGATTTCGTTCTTTTCTCTTATTTCTTTTCCATATTTATCGTTCAATGAGATTATTATAGGCTTTCCTAAGTTTGATCTTAAGCATTTGAGGCCTCGGTTCTATTCTATTATTTTTTCTACCTTGTTTTCATTATAGATCCTTAAATCTTCCTTTACTCCCTTCTTTATTTGTTTATTTAATTCTTTGTAACCATTGGTGTTTCGCTTTCCTTCGCTTAGAAATGTGCGTCTCTTTTCCATCAACCGTTTTGTATATATATATATATATATATATATATATATATATATATATATATATACAGCATATAGGAAAACAAACACACAATAGGTATATCGATGGAAGACAACCGTATATATGTCTTAAGTATGGTCATAGTATGAGGTTGAGGTTGGAACCTCTTTATTCTGGTATGGTGCAGCCAAGTTAGAAATTTAAGTTGGTAATTAGGGCAACAACTAACAATAACTACGGAGGAAGCTACAGCTACCTGAGGAAAGAAATGCCAAACGTTAAAATGTTTAAAACAAATAGAAAAGCTTAATGCGAGTGAATAATAAAAGTAAAATGTAATGGCTTGTCTCGCAAAACAGGAAAACAAAAAACGAAATAGCTATATTGGTGGAAGTCATCCATATAAGTATTTCTGACTATTGGTCGTCTTTAGTACGGTGCAGCCAAGTTAGAAAAGGAGCATATTAACTTTGGAAAGGATCACTACAGGAGTAAAGCGACCAATTTGTGGTATTAGAGTTAGAATACCCTGATGGTTTATAGGGCAACAACTAACAATAACCACGGAGGAAGCTACAGCTACCTGAGGAAAGGAATATATATATATATATATATATATATATATATATATATATATATATATATATATATATCGGAATTCCGATATATATATATATATATATATATATATATATCGGATATATATATATATATATATATATATATATATATATATATATATATATATCGGAATTATGGTGTATAATACATAAAGAAGTCTAAAAAATTAATTATATTCAAAATATATAAGTACAGAATTACACGGTATAAGGGGCACTACTAATTGAAAGTCTTTGTAATTTTTGGTCGATCCAATTTCTAAATTGAGCAACGTCACCATATACTCCTGGAATATTCAAAGTACCACAACCAATACCCCAGGCAACTGTTCCTACTTGGACGTACCTCGCTGCATTTGTAGGATCAGGACACACCAAAGGACTACCTCCATCACCCTAAAATAAAAAAGAATGACTATAATATATTGTTGCAAGAAGTTATTTGGATTACAAACTTAAAACTATTGTTTAATTTTAAATATTTTACACCGATCCTTATTCATTTTCGCTAGAAAAACGTTATATTTAAGAGAATTGAAGAGAAGGGCACAGAAAGGTTATGGTTAGACAAGCAAATATCTACTAAAAATTATAAAGTCAAAAGAAGATGAATATTAAAGTTTTCCAAAGTTGCACTAAACTGTGTAAAATAGAAATTGATGACATCAGTATTGAACAAGTAATGGAAATAAAATAGCTTAAACTTAAATTGACTTAAACTGACCAGTCATGGACACTTATACAAACAAGTGAGAGATCAATTACAAAAAGCAAATAGACTAGTAGGATGCCTTATTAGAGGTAATGGATTTTGACAAGAGCTATGAGTCATGCCGATGCAGTACACATGTTTGCCTGTTATTTACAAGGATATAGCTCTTGTCAAAATTCATTGCCTATAACCCTTTCCAGTCAGATGATCCCATTTGGGATCATAGCAATGTTTTCTGCTTTATCGGCAAGGAAAACAACTTATGTCGATTTGGCAAACGGTATTGCGTTGCCTTACCTTCCTACTAGATGACGCTGCATTAATTTATTTGAGAATTCTATTAAGTCACATTTCAATGTAAAACTTCGTAGAGAAACAACGATCATCAAGTCACTGTAAATTTTAAATCATTCTAAGGTGAGTAATTGAAGTAATTACTATTTAAATGGGAATAAGCCACAATTAAAGGTTAAAGTAAGTTTATTGGCGTTTCAATTTGCACTTCGGAAATCGTTCTCAAAAGTACATTATTTCTTCGTACATTCGTAATTAAACAAATTTTGTTTTTTAAATAAACTTAAATAGTAATTACTTTAACATGACACAAGAAAATAGCGTCAGAACAATAGTGAGTAATTGAATCAGTATTTGCACGAAAAAATTTATTTTGCTTGTTACATTTTTTTTATTTGATAATGGAAAGAATCCGTCTCCTCAATGTGACTGTGGGAAGAACCAAACGATCGACCACATTATTGAAGAGTGTCCCTCAAGATCCTACAACGGTAGCCCGGAAGACTTCCTGTTTGCAACTTCAGAGTCAATTGATTATGTTAATACACTTGATGTTTGTTTGTAATTATTTAAAGTTTATCATATACCTATATTACTAGTGTTTGTAATTTTGTTCTAAATGTGTTGTAATTGCCATACGATAAATAAATAAATATTTGATAATTTGCATTATAGTTTGCTTATATTTACAAGATTGTTTATGTAAACATTATAAATATCAATGAATCCAAATGGAATCATATTGGGTCATTGTGGAGGTCTCCAAATGGCATTGGGAAGTCGTTTGAATTTTGTTTCTGTCAATAAAATACAAAAGAACATTATACTTTTTTATTTCAGATGGATCGTGTGTTCAAAACTACCAAAACCAAAATTTATTTTCGGAATTGCAAAATCTGTCCCAGGAAGAGGTAGTGGGTCTTCTTGACGACTCTGATATCGAATTTAATGTTGATAATGTGGAAGAGACTTTGGAAGAAGAAATAATTGAAGAATCTCAAATAGAAGAATTATTGGAAATTATTGTTGAAGATAGCTTAAATACCCAAGTTACAGAGAATATGGAAGAAAACACTGTTGAAGAAATTACAGAAGAGCCACAGACAAGTCATGCCAACAAAACAAAGCATAGCAAGACCAACTTGGACAGACAAAAATTTAATTGATGTAAACAGCGAATACAGTGGTGATTTTTCGGTTGATGATAATATTTATACGCCTTTCCAATATTTTAAAATGTTTTGTGACAACGCTATTATTCAAAATTTTGCTTGACAAGGCCAACTTGTATTCTGTGCAAAAAGACAGTAAAAATATTGATACAAATGCAGCAGAGATAGAGCAGTTCTTAGGCATACATGTATTTAGTGGAGTTGTTCGTGTTCTTTCGTATAAAATGTATTGGGCTGAAGAAACGCGATATAATACGATAGCTGATATCATGTCACGTAATCATTTTGATAAACTGCGCTCATATTTTCACGTCAACGATAATTTAAGTCTCGTCTAGCAACAATGACAAATTATATAAAGTAAAGTCTTTAATTGAAAAAGTTCGGCAAAACAGGAATAAGATAAGACCCCAATCACTATACTAGGAATTAAAATTTACTTCTTCGATGGAGTGGCTGTATTTCTCGTATGCAGGTTCAGGAAGAATAAATTCTGACTCGAATAATAATGTTTTATTATCGCAACTTGATGAAAGTGACAATAATCCAGCAAACTAAGTGTTTAACATCTCACATTACTGATACCATTGGCAGGTGAATAACTCTGCATTAAAATTGTACTTACAGTTTCTCAAAACAATACTCACAATACAATCACTGTAACTATGGAATAATAACGGAAAAATGATAAAGCTAATCAATATATTTAAATTGGTCGCCCGGAGAAAATAAAATATGCGACTTGCATTGTCGGAGATCAGTTTCGGAATGGTGGCGTTCTCGCTAGTAGAGGCTAGCCGTTCCCGCACAGGTCCGTCTCGGAAATATTAAAAGGGATTATTGCACCGCAGTTTGGATATGTTCCGAACACTGAGGAATTCAACAGCGTCGATGAGTTTATTATACCATTCAAAGAACATAGTAATCTAAAGCAATATATAAAAAATAAACCTCATAAATGGGGCGTAAACATTTTTGCAAGAACAGGACGCAGCGGCATAGTATACGATTTTGAGATATATGTGGAGAACGGAAGAGCCCAAGATAAATCAGATCTTGGAATTAGTGGTGAAATAGTACTGGAGTTGGTCAGACATCTTCCAAACCACATGGATTTCAAGATTTTCACCGATAAGTGGTTCACATCTTATAATCTACTTATTTGTCTGAAAGAACGAAGCTTCCTTGCTACAGGGATGTATATAGTGGGCGGCTGGCAGGTTGTCTTTTTTCAGAAGACAAAGTTCTAATGGCAAAAGGTCGTAGATCCTCTGATGTAAAAATAGACAGCAAAAAAAATATTTCTCCTCTCATATTGTATGACAATAAGTCCGTCATATTAACATCATATAGTCATCATAACGTCATATTAACATCATCCGTCACATTAACACTATATAGGAAAATATCTTCTCGATAAAGTGAAGAGATCCTGCAACAAGAGCAAAACCTATATAGAAATCGAACGGCCAGCAATTGTCAAAGAATATAATGTTTCGATGGGGGTGTGGATTTGCATGACATGCTTGTGGAACTATATAGAATCAAAATTAAACCAAAAAGATTCTATTTGAGAATAATATTTTAATTTGGGTTGGAAAGGGCGACTTTATGGCGAAACAGACACATTAACACTAAGATAAAATCAAGAATTTATAAAGCCAGTGTAAGACCAATATTGAAATATGCCTCAGAAATAAGACCCACATAGCTACAACACAAAGGCTACTGGAAACGACAGAGATAAAAAAGTACTGAGAAGAATTACAGAAAATGCAGACAGATCGAAAGAGAAGTCAAGACATTAGAAGAAAATGTAATAAAAATGTATTATTCATTTGTGGGAGCAGATTTCACCAGTTATAGATATTTTCTTCGAATTCACGGTACCCCTAGGTCTTGTCACGCGATTATCAAACAATATACATATACTCGTCTACTAGTTATAGTGACAAATATAGATCAACTAGTTACTAATGACAATTATTAAAAAGTAATAACTTACTGTGCACGCATCTTTTCCTTCTTCTCCACCAGCACACATAAAGGAGCTATGTAGAGAAAACTTTGATGTCAGCCGGGTAGTTCTTAAGGCATCTTGACAAATACGCCTGTCAATTGTAGGTAGTTCTATTTTTTTCAATATAGATTGGAATTTTCCTTTTTTGCCTAAGAAAAATAAAAGAGTATTTAATAAACCAAGTTACACTCAAGTTAATATTCCTTAAGAGCTGAATAATAAAGGAATTAACTGTTTTAGTAATAAATTCCAGCAGAGTGGAAAATAATGTTTTTATTATATTATATAAAAAAATTAGAATATTTCTTTTTTTCTCTTACGTACTACTAAAGAACGAGAATTCCAGACTACTCATCTACCAGACACTTTAGTGCTTCAACTGTCAGTGAAATCACCACGTTTGTTCTCTCAGATGCTCAGACCGAAAATTCCCACCAGCCACTACCCAACAAATGCAACAAGTCATCACGATCAGCCTCCCACATACGAAATCCACTTCTCATGTCCATTAGTCTCTTCAATGACTTTCCGGAAAATCAACCATATGGTCCGTCTCTTTATCGAGATTACCTACAACAAGTATTGCCACGTAATTGCCAATATTACTACGCCACGTAATTACAAATATTGCGTTTCTTCCGGGAATCGTATTTTTCTTTTCGTACTCTGTCTCTCAATCTATCCCTATTTTGGACTTCACGTACAGCATTAACGAAATTCGTTTATTGCGTTATGTTTAATTAATTCTCGACTGTATCAGTCCCTCCAGTTGGTGATCGCTCTCGACTTCTTCCCTCAAATTTTCCTTGGACTAATAGTCTCTCCATATTATCGACACGTGATATATGTCCAATGTTAATATTTTTGAATATATGGAACTATCAACAATATACAGGAGAAGGTACAAGCGTCTATATTATTTGGTACAAATATGGGCTATGCTACTAATATGGGCTATCGCAATTAATATGAAATACACACCACCATCTATACGTCAATAGCTTGACTAGATACTCATTGATCTAAAATAATAACTAATAAAGCTTACAGTGACCCAAGTCCAGTGATCGTTGAAACAATCACATGTTAGTGTTGACGCTGTTCAAGAAATTTTTTAAGTATGTTTTTATTTCAATTTTTTTTTTTTTTCGGTGAAAACTAAGAAGAAATTTAATATTTTATCATACATCGTAAGCGAAAAGCTGATATTTTCATATTATTTTCGACTATTTCTTTTAATTTGTGTTGCATTTTAGATATTAACATTTGACTATATGTTTGGTTATGTTGCAATATGGGCTAGCATGGTGCTACAAATATGAGCTAGCCCATATTTGTGTGGTGCTACACATATGAGCTATTATATTTGTATCAGTTTAATCTAAAGGGTTTTTTTTTTCAGAATGCCTAGAAAAAGTATTTTAAGTCCAAAACAAAGTCCTGGGATGCAGATAGCATGAAATCTGCTATTCAAGCTGAGAGAGTTAAAACTATGGATATATTAAAAGCAGCTAAAACTTATAATGTCCCGAGATCGATAGTATAACGGTTAGCAAAAATGACCGAACGAGTCCAAATAAAGCAGTACTTAAGAAACTGGGAAGAGGAACTATTCTTGGCCCAGATTTAGTAAAATGTTTGGTGGACTATATCCTTCAAATGGAAGCGAAATTCTATGGTTTAACGCGGACTAATATCAAATAAATGGCATTTAATCTGGCTGAATCAAATGGATTAAATCATCCCTTTATGCAGTTAAAAAAATTGGTAGAGGTTGGCTAGATTTGTTCTTGGCGCCTCATAAAAATACATTGGCTTTAAGGAGACCAAATGGAACGTCTTTTGGACGGGCAGCTAGCGGTAATAAACCAGGTTTACAACGTAGATGAAACGGGCCTAACCATTGTGCAAAATAAAATTGCAGCAATAGTGGGGCGCAAAGGAAAGAGACAAATCGCATCGCTGACTTCGGCTGAGAGAGGATCATTGATCACTTTAATTGCATGTATGAGTGTTGGAGGGAATTTTATCCCACCCATGTTTATCTTCCCAAGAAAGAATATCAATGTGCAACTCATGAAAGGTACTCCTCCTGGATCGATATTAGCCGTTCATCCTAGTGGTTGGGTGCAGTATAATTTATTAACACAGTGATTTAAACACTTCATAGATACCGTTAAACCCTCTAAAGAGTTTCCTGTACTTCTTATATTGGATGGACACTACAACCATACTCGCAATTTAGATGTGATGAATCTGGCAAGGGAGAATAACATAGTTATAATTTCATTACCTCCACATTCAACACACAAACTGCAACCACTAGACAAAACTTTCATGAAAACGCTCAAGGCATACTATAGCGAAGAAATCAAGCAATGGTTACGTCATAATAACCGCGCCCTCTCTCAATACAATATTGAAGAACTTTTTGGCAAAGCATACCTTAAAAGGTAAGCTGAAGAAATTGCTGTAAATGGATTCCGCGCCACTGAAATTTATCCATTGAGTAAGACTGTGTTCTCAGACAGATGCGATTTTATTGCAGCAGAAATTGGGAATAACAACCACAGCCATGTAGAACCGCAAGCTATTGAACCTGCTATCCTACCAAAAACACCAGAAATCAGTAACATTAGTGAACCAGGTCCTTCTGGTTTGCAGAAATTTGTAAGTCCGCAAGCTATTGAACCTGCTGTCATACCAAAAACACCAGAAGAAAGCAACATCAGTAAACCAGGTCCTTCTGGTTTGCAGAAGTTTGTAAGTCCATTTGAAATATCAGCAGTGCCGTCGATCAGGAAAAAATCTACAAATCGTGCTTGAAAATCATTAAAACCAACGGTAATAACTTCTTCACCTTAGAAGCATTAGACCAGCAAAATAGGAAAAAGAAACTAAATGTACAAGTAGTAAAACGACACATTACGGTCTCCCGTTACGGAGTCCACAAGGGAGGTGACTAAGGAAAAAATTAAAAACAAGTCAGAGATGCGGCATAAAAAGGAAATCGAAAGTTCTTCTGACAACGATAGTGAGCAGAAATTTCAACCAGCTGATGAAGATATGGATTTGGAAGGGATTCCTGGTGTAATGGATCCGGAAAATAGGGATGTAAATTGTATTTTCTGTGACGGAAAATTTTGTGAGGATAATCGAGGTGAAAATGGATTCAGTGCTTTATGTGGAACTTGTGGACACATATAGATTGTTCTGGTACAGAAAGAGACGAATATGTGTGTGAATATTGTACATAAAAAATTATTAAATAAAAATAAAACTATTTTTACTAGTAGCCCATATTTATATCACCTTTCTGTTTCTTACTTAAATGACACCGTGAATGTTTTTATGGCATTACAGAAAAAAATATCTTACTAGGCAGAAAAACGGACTAGCACAAAAGAGCAAAAAACTCTGACACAGGGTTTCAATTGAAATAGGAGAAACTGGTATTATGGACGCAATTAAAAGAATTACAACACTGAAATGGAACTGCGCAGGACATGTTGCCAAAGTCAGAAATGGTAGATGAACCAAGAAAATTGTACGTCCTTTAACAAGGTATTCGGACGACATCAAGCCAATCAGCAAAACTGGATTAAAGGTATTCAAAATCGGATGTATTTGAATTATTAGGAGTGAATTTCTCCTCCGGTTATTAACTGTAGCCTCCAGGTATGAAGTTCTCGATCTACAGTGAGTTTTTGCTTCTTAAGAAGCTACCTACAAACGTACTAAGACACTGAAATGGACTCACGTATGCTTCGTCTAAAAAAGACACGGTTTAAACCCGGAACAAAATTTATACTTACAGTGTTAAGTATTGAAATATTTTTTTAAAGCAACACAAGAGATTACTTTTATCTTATATTTCAATTACTATAAATAGAAATAAAAAATGGTATCTTTATCGTAAATTAATAAAAAATAAATAAAAAATTATTTAGGAATGATAAAGAACCTACCATATAAGATATTGGAAATGTATTTTAAAATGTTTAACTTACCGAAATCCTTTTGACCCCATCCAGTAACGAAACAGTTTTTCGAATTTATTTTAGCGTTTTGGGACGGTAAACAAATGGTACCAATATGGTCTGCTTTGTTTACTGCTTCATCGAGAATTAAGAGCGCGACGTCGTTATGTAAAATTCCAGGAGCGAACTCCTCATGGACGATAATTTGGTTGACGTTTCTTTCTTGATATGGTAGCCTTTCTTTCGTTGTTTGGGTGTCCCATTCTCCAGCTCGGACAGTCAGGTCAAAGGATTTATTCCTGGACGATAAACGCAAATATGGCATTTAAAACATTATGCAAAGCATACAAGGATTAAAGCAAAAGTAAAAAAAAGTTAGCAAACTACTTACTAGCAGACCAACTCGGCATCGAGTTTTTTAAATGAAATTTTTATTTTGCGAGAAAAATTAAGAGATCAATACAAACAATATAAGCAAGAATATACATAACATTCATCAATAATAATGCAAGTAAAAAGTGTATTAAATAGCACGAAATATTTCGTCGAAAACAATGTTTTTTTACAATGTCTCCATTTTCTGAAAACTTTTGCTTGACACCGGGAGTTATGTAAACTTTTACTTTTTACTTTTTAATAAAAACGAAACCAACAGTCGACCTCAAAACCAGAATGCAATTTTTAGTTCATCAAATGTCGACATGGATATCATTTAGCAGTTAATTTTGCATGGTGATCACGAATCCGGTGTCAGATTTGCTCTATCTTGACGTTTTATGCGCGTTTCGGGTCACTTCCGGTGTCTTTTCGCAACCGGAAGTACATATTTAGATTCGTCTCGACGAGACCTTTCAATCCATATATACATTGTGGGGTCTAAAACTTAAAGTAAATTTTAACTTCCAGTCATCTTAAAGACGGAAGTGAATTTTTGTACAAAAAGTATATCTTGACAATCTCATACGTAATACTAATAATATTCCGAAAAAATATTTTAATTATCTAATATGGTTTTTGAGTAAAGTGGTGGACAATAAAAGGGCTTAGCGTTTTAGTATATAAGAGAAAAAATACTTTAATTATCTAATATGGTTTTTGAGTGAAGTGGTGGACAAGAAAAGGGCTTAGCGTTTTAGTATATAAGATTATATTCGCGACAAAAGCAACAAAACACTTAAGCTCGAAAAATACGGCGCCGATATTGAATAAGCATAGACACTATTTTAATCGATCCTGACAAATTGTGAAATTTACAGAGTAATAACAATTGTAAGATTCTTACACTGCACTATTAGACAGTGTTATAGTGTTAGTTTCATCAGTAACTTCATCAATTTCATTTTTGCGAATAGGAACCATCAATCCGGAATACAAACATGTAGTTTCCGTCGACATATTTATATATCCCCACCCACAACACTAACTTCCGATTCCATTCTTAAAACGTATGACAACATTAACAATCGAATTTTTTAACACTTAGATAATGTAGGTTTCCATTGCAAACAACAGGGTTACATTTCCAGCAGTTGCTCAGTAACTTTAAATAACTCGGCTGCCCCAATTACTCCATTTTCAAACAGAAATGAATCTAGGTAAAAAGAAATAAAATAAGACACTTACAATCAATTTAATTTTTGCTACCAAAACGAACGGTTTCGCTTTCTACACTTTGCAAAGCATCTTTCGGTCAAACGGTACTATGCTGAAATTATACAAAGCCCATATTAGGGCGCTGTCTTATAAAGATAAAAATATAAATTACAGTAATTATGCCAATATTACTTGTCAGTGTTTATTAATTTTATTTAACGAGGCTCTTTACGGAATAGACGAAGGCATCCTTCTAAATGGTGAAAGAGTAAACAATGTTAGATATGCCGACGACACCATGGTGATAGCAGATAGTTTAGAGGGACTTCAGAGGCTAATGGACAGAATAAACGAGTACAGTCAACAGTACGGACTAAACATTAATACCCACAAAACGAAACAAATGATTATCAGCAAGGAGAGTATAAACGGGGCTCATCTATACATCAATGGGACGCAGATAGAGCCAGTAAAACAGTATTGTTACCTGGGAATTATTATTAACGAACAGTGGAGCAATTTACAGGAAATAAAGTGCCGCATAGGAAAGGCAAGAACGGTCTTTAACAAAATAAGCGCCATCTTCAAAAGTCACAACATATCCCTTGATACAAAAATGATACATTTGAGATGCTATGTTTTCTCTGTGTTTTTGTACGGGGCGGAGGCATGGACGCTTACAGACATCACTATTAAAAAACTTGAAGCATTTGAGATGTGGCTTTATAGAAGAATGCTGAGAATATCATGGACAGCAAGGATCACGAACAAGGAAGTTCTAGGAAAAATGAAGAAGGAACCAGAGATTGTGTTTACGATCAAACGCATAAAATTGCAATATCTGGGACACGTTATGAGAAATCAGTACCGTTACTCCCTGCTACAGTCTATATTGCAAGGTAAAGTCAAAGGTAAGCGAGGACCTGGTAGAAGGAGAATATCATGGCTGCGGAATTTAAGAACATGGTTTAAGAAAACCTCAACGGAGCTGTTTCGAGCCGCAGCGAGCAAGGTTATGATTGCCAATATGATTTCCAACATCCGAAACGGATAGGAACCAGAAGAAGAAGAAGTTTATTAATATGAATAAAATATCAATTTTAGAGCTACATAGAGTTCTTCCTCATTTGTTCCCATTTTATTTGAATGTGCCATACTTCTTGCTGATAACAAGGGTAACTGTTTACGTACTTACTTACTTAATCAGTAGACCCATTTGTACCTTCCGGTGTTGGGCCGTTTATAATACAATTCTTTATATTACAATATTTTACAATCTTCTGAGGTGTCCTAGCTCTTGACAAACTTTCTTCTTTCCTTACTATTGTAACTTTTTAATTTTTTTAAATACTTTTTAGGGATTTTTTAATCGATATTCTTTCAGATTTATTGTTTAGTAATTCAAAGCTATCTTCAGAGTAACAGCCTTCGTGAATATTAGATTTTGATGAGCAATTACTTTTAGAAAACAATCCGACGTCTGACGATATACCTAGTCAGTGTAGGAAAAAGTTTATGGTCGGTATAGACCTTACGTGAGATGGAGTGAGAAACAGCTGTTTAGAAAGAGAGAGGTATATTAGGTCCGCCCTTTATATCGCCGAACATGCAAGCGTAGAAATAATAAAAAAGAGGAAGTTCAACGTTGCCAAACTTATTGGTTTTATTTGACCTGTTGTCTTTTTTGCATTTGAACAATGTTCTAAGATAATCAAATTTGGGCGAAATTGATTTAAATAACAGCTTACTTTTTTTTATTGGGAATATGCCACAAGTTTACTTTACAATAAGTGAAATAAAATATTTTGATTTCCACTTCGGAAATCGTTTTATATAAATAAAATTTATTAATGTTTTGTATTTTAAGTCCGATTTCCGAATTAAAAATCTAAACATCAAAATAAGCTTATTTTAAAGTCACATTGTGCCTTATTCCCAATATTTACTTTATTTAGCGTATGGATAATTACAATACGATAAAAGTAGTATTTAGATAATAATTATGTTCAAATTGGAATTGTAACCTAAGTTAAATATTAAATATTAATGTCCAAATTGCACAGCCATTCAATTGCACCAGGAGAACACTCTGCAAAATCTTGAAGGTCTCCGCTGTATCTGCGGATTGGGCAATCCGCCATGATGTGTAAATATAATTATATATTTCATATTCCCAATATGAAATAATAAACTGCATACAATAACGCCACATTAAAAAATATTCATATACAATAATTATTTGGCAATGTCTGTTTGGTCACGAGTAACGAGTAGTAGAGATGGGTCGTGGTAGTTTTATCGTTGGGAGCGTAGGCACAAAATTTCGGGCCAATATTTTTTAAATGCATTCATTTTTTTCGAATCCTGAGCAAACTAATAAATATTTTTAAAAAATTTAAATGCAGAATGAAACAATACATTATTACCGAGGGCCGAAAGTCCCTGAAAACTTCTATAATGTTTATTTTAATAAGTTATAGGGATGAAAAAAAAATTAGTGTGATTTTTAATTTCAAATATCTCATTCAAAAATTTTTTTGTTTATTCTAAGGGACTTTCAGCCCTCGGTAATAATGTAATCTTTCATTCTGCATTTAAATTTTTTAAAAATATTTGTTAGTTTTCTCATGATTCCAAAAAAAAATGAATGCATTTAAAAATTTAAATGTTCTTAAACAAGTAACTATGATTGTTTAAAAGTAGTTTCAAGTAATAGAGTACCTACATAAACAAACATAATGGCTATTATCGTTTATGTGTATATTTATTGAAGTGAAAGAAACTAATGATATATTTATTATAACTTGAAAAATAAACATTTTTTCGTACTGTAAGTAATCGTACTTACATTTACATTACACGTTATTATTAAATCGTGAATAGTCTAAATTGACATTAAAAAACATAAGTTTTTCTACTTTACTTCTTATTAACTGTATTCTTTTTTTTATTTCAAATTAAACCAGATTTTGAACACGTGCTCACATTTACAATCCTTTATGAATATAGTGGTTAAGTTAGGATATACATGGCGATGGTTTTTCCACCGTTGTAATGGACTCTCGATACAGGTGTACGTGTAGATGAGTAATCTCCAATTAATTGATCAAAAATACACCATGGACTTAAGTCATCTTTATTGGTTTCTTTTTCTTGTACTGGTTGATTTTCAATAGTACAATCTTCTTGTTCGGTAATTATAGAAGTAACCACCTTCTTAACTTTTTCTTTTATTTTTTTAGCTTCATTTTTATCAGAAAAACCCTGCACTTTAATGACAATGTGCCACTCTGTTTTATTCCTTTTAAATATTTTTGCTAAACCCGATATTAGTAATTGTACTACGTCGGATCCTATGGATGTAAGGTTGCCGTTTGCTAAAAGTTTATTGCAAGATACTTGCAGGCAGCGTAACGATCACTGAACTACCCTTCAAGTATTTTTGGTCACTCATTGTACTTGTTATTTCTTTAAACGGCCGTAAAATTTGGTAAAGTTGAGAACAAATAATCCAGTGTTTTTAGTCTGTATTATTTAATACCGATATGGAACGGTGCCTCTTCTAACTCGGTCATTCTTTTTAACATGTAATAGGTGAAGTTCTACCTAGTTTCCACGTCTTGGATTGGCCGTTTGGGAACTTTGTTATGTTGTAATTAATACTTTAAAAGCCTTTCTGAAGATAAGGTACTTTTTTTTAATGTCTTTTTTTCAGAATTATTAAAAAAAGGACTTTTTATTTTATCTATTTGTACACGACAGCATTTAAGTGCGTCCTCCACCAATAAATTTAACGTATGAGTAAAGCAACTTAAATGTTTTCATTCTAAAACATCTTTAATAGCTTTGAACATATTTGAGGCATTATCAGTTACTGCAAAATTTACTTTTCGTTTTAGACCCCACTGATTAATAATCCAGATGTCCAGAGGTCAGTTAGTAATACAGATATTTTCTACTTGTTTAACAACTTGTGATCTAATAATTTGCTCAGTTTTGACAGTTTTTCTTGTTGGCGGTTGATATCCAGGAATCCACCCTGCAAACTTTTTAAAAGCTGGTTCTTCAACTATGGAAAACGGATGAAACGAGTCTTTGCATAGGGTTAGTAAATCTTGAAAATCAACCAGTACAAGAACAAGAAACTGATAAAGATGACTTAAGTCTATGGTGTATTTTTGATGAATTAATTGGACATGACTCATCTAAACATACACCTGTATCGAGAGATATAAAAGAAGTCGACATGTATTTGTCTGATGATATATTACCCACAAAAAATTTCGAACGGAGATTGGAACTGTCCGTTACTGTGTTGGAAAAACCATCGCCATGTATATCCTAACTTAACCACTATATTCATAAAATATTGTAGTATTGTAACAACATCTTTTCCTTGTGAACACATGTTTAAAATCTGGTTTATTTTTAAATAAAAGAAGAGTACGGTTAACAAGAAAAGTGGAAAAACTTATGTTTTTAAATAGCAATTTAAACGATTCGAGATTTAATAATGTGTAATGTAAATGTAAGTACTATTTGTATTGTTTATCTAATTTATTTTTCAAGTTATAATAAATATATCCTTCGTTAGGTTGTTTCACTTCAATACTTATACACATAAACGATAATAGCCAATATGTTTATGTACTCGCTAATTTGAATACTGGTAAACAATCAACTAGTTACAGTTTACGAAAAACGGTTACGATAAAAATTTAAAAAACGGGAGGACCCACCTCTAGTTTTTTAGGTATATTAGGATCGGAACCAGAGAGTATGTAAAATATCTCGGATCGGAACTATTCGTCTCACTAATGGGCAATAAGTGTCAAAAATATTTATGGAGGGGAGACCAAGGGGAAATATGATTTTTATCTTTGTCTATTCGCTGAAAATAGGATTTTATATCTGCGTTAGATATCCTGTTAAATTTTACCGTACCGACCATAAACTTTTACCTACACTGTATACAGGAAAATGTCCTGTTTAATAGGATTCCCCTTTCTTCTTGTAAAACTTGATATTTGAATAAGATTTCGCTATTGACACTTTGAATTGTAGTTGGTGTGTTTTCTTCTTTGAAATCTACTTGACTCTTAGAAAATTTATAATGACTAGAAGATATCAAAAATATTCTTGAGTTTTCAGGATCGGTGTGGTTTTAATGAGGTAAACTTAATTTTAATAGACTCGCTGTGGATTCGCTGAAAACAATGGTTACATATAAATCTTTTCCCGATTTTCATTTTGCATAATAATTGAAATTAAATTTTTATTTTTTTTTAATATTTTGAAATTGTAAATGATGGTTATGAGATGATACGAAAAAGTCCTTTTTGAAACGTGGTTTGACACCCATGACGTTCCAAAATATGCTTGGGCAGATTCTTCTGGTCGCTGTATGACAAAAGCTCCATCAAATAAAGGAAAACGTATTACAATTAATCCATGCAGAAACAAAAAATGGTTTTTTGTTTCGTAATGCTTTAGCCTTGTCATGCAACAACATTAAGGACTCCCGTGTCGAGTATCATAATAACACCACGTCATAATTATTTCAAAACTGGTTTTCAACAAAGTTATTGCCAAATATACCACCAAACAGTGTAATTGTGATGGACAAAACCAGCTACCACAGTAGGCTGAATAAAGTTCCATGTTCTAATGACACCAAACTTGAAATCCAGAAATATATGCTGTAAAATGATAAGTATATATATATATATATATATATATATATATATATATATATATATATATATATATATATATATATATATATATATATATATATATATATATATATTATGAAGATAATTATTCTACAGAACAATTACGTGAAACTTTAAAATCATTTTCCATCAGAAAACAATATTATTGCGACAGTTTGGCGGAAGAAATGGGTCATACAGTATAAAGACTTCCTCTTTACTATTGCATGTTCAATCCGATTGAACCCATATGGCATAAGCTAAAACCATCGATAAGGAGAAGTAATGTTTCGCCTACCCTAAATTCATCTGTGGTTCGTCTAATTGAATTAGAAATGAAGAAAAGAGCAAATGAAAAATAGTGTTGCCCATGTTCTAAAGATGGAAAGATCTTATATAAATACAGATAGGTTGCTCAAAAAACAATTATTATAGATCTAGATAACGACAGCGATAGTGAAACTTGCTGTAATTTTTTTTAAATAGGTATAAGTACTTTTTGAATTGTATTTATAAATGGTAAACTTTCTATGTAAATATTTTTATGTAAATATTTTGAAATTCAGTTAATAACGGTATCAAACCAGCTTTTAGACACACCTCAATTTTGAAAATAATTTTTTAAAATATTTTTGTCTCTGTTCTTTTTATAAGAAATGATGAAGTTTTGTAAATACGTAAATGTAGTGTATGTAAATATTTTTGCAACTATTATAACTTAAGTAGACAATGATAAAGATAGCCTTTTAAACGCACGTAACAATCGAATAAGTAATTCAAATCGAAAATCGATTTACGATCCTGTCCAGAGGCGATCCCCCTCTGCCTTGCGGTAGACATTTATCTATAATAAATAACTCATATGAATCACAATGAATCATAAAAATTAATGACTCTCTTAGATCTCTGGTAGGACTATTATACGAGTATTATGTCTGATTCCTAAGATCCCACGGCATCGCGTATTCGTCCAGACATATTTTGTGTACTACAAAGACTGTAACCGAAGGATTGTTGCCTATCAAGTCCACTGCGGTTTACAAATATTTTGAGCTTTTGACTTTTACATTTTTGTGCTTATGCGTAAAATTGCTTCATTTTTATGTCTAGACGTAAAAGTATCATTTTTATATTGTCAATCAATACTTAAAAAAAACTAGTTTATGACCAAAAGTCTACGTCAACGTAAATAAAATAAAAAAAAATGAATAAAACAACCGATAATAACTGGTATTGCCCACAATTAGTGAATAATCGTGGTCAGGGGTTTATTTGGAGCAGTTGCAGTGAAGTATTGTTAAAGTTTGTTTAGCAGAAAACGGTTGACTTCAATTAGTGCGGTCGTAAATATTATTAAATTTATCTGACTCGGCGCATTGTTAAGAATTGTACCTCAGGTAAACCATTGTTGCCTAAAACCGGGCCTTTTATACTATTATCGGTTAACCCAGGATGTTTATAGTCGGCACTAATTGAGGTCTACCATTTCCTCCTACACAAACTTTATAAGACGTTCTATGTTCTATTAATATTCTGATGTCTTACCTGTAAACACAATGGGCGCCAGTTAAAACAACATTAGGAGTGATCAAGGAACCTCCACACACAAGAGGCTTATCAAGCCCTTGTAATATATAGTTTTTATTTAAAATTGCAACCATCCAAGGAAACTCTCCGTATTCGGCTTCATTGTCAAAATTTCCAGTAATTGTAAAGTCGATTCCTTTGGGGTTTCTAATGCCACAGAAGCTGGGTTTTACGATCGGAGGAGTGGTGACTGGTTCTGGGGTTACTGGAGTTACGGGATTCGGGGTGGGTGTATTTGGATTAATTTTACAACACACGTCCAGGGGTTCTTCGCACTCCTTTTTACCAAACCTAAAAAATAAAACAATATAAAAAAATAAAAAAAAATGAATTTATTTAGTCCAGTCGTCATAGAGTTGACCCCTAAATATCGAAAAAGCTGGATTTTGCAGAGAATTTAATTTTTGGGACCTCAAAGAAGATGCAAAAAAGTTTACCACTTTCACCCCCAGGCTTCTCCCTAATACCCCCTTGCAGGGGAGTAAAAACAAAAAAAAATCGATGTACCAAGAATCTGTACATTTTAAACAAAACTATGGATAACCTTTTTTTTGTGTAGAATGAAATGTTCTTTTAGAAACATAGCTTGAAGTGACTGGAGTAATTTTATTAGAGAATTAACAAAAGTAAATCACGTTATACAGCATGTGTTAAAATTTAAACATAAATTAAGTATCTAAAATTTTTGTCAGATATTTTTTTATTATAAAACTTTGCATTCAGACGTTTGTCTGAAAAATGCAAAAAAAACTTTTTTTAGATGTGGGATTAATGGAGACTTTTCACATTTCATTTATAATAGTGTCCAAGCCATTTAGACCAAAAATCATTCACACATTGAAAGAAAACGTTTAAAATGCAAAATTGTTAGACAGTATTTAGAAACGATACGTTTATCAACACAAGAGATAAAAATGTTCATTCACAATAAAAAAAAATGTAAAAAATAATAAAACTTATTATTTTAATGTAAATGTATAATTATATAATATTTGAACGTAGTTTTTAGTTTTGATCAACTTTTCTTAGTACAATTTTCGACATTATGACTACTAGTTAGCGATGCCGCTTCCTACATGGTTAAAACTGTTACTAGTCTTAAAATTTTTTTTCCGAATTTGATTCATTGTACATGCTTAGCGCATGGTTTAAACAGGGTGGCAGAGAAAGTTAGACTCGAGTTTCCAAATGTAAACACTTTAATCAACAATGTAAAGAAAGTACTTTTAAAAGCACCATTGCGAGTAGAAGTATATAGGGAGATGCTTCCCGATATCGCTTGCCACCGGAACCAGTGATGACTAGATGGGGGACGTGGTTGAATAGTGCCACATTTCTTGCAAATAATTATATTGATTTCAAAAATGTTATATCAAATTTTGATCCTTGTTGTTGTTTTGTTGTTCAGAAATGTCAAAATATTTTTAGCAAGAATTCTGTTCAGAATGAACTGTCCTATATAAAAGCAAATTTTGACATAATTGTAAACTCTATTACAAAACTAGAGAGACAACAATTATCTTTAAATGATAGTATTTGCATTGTTGATTCTAGAAAGAATAGTAAACTAGTATTCTAGAATAGAAAAATTTTACATTTGCGCCAATTACATCCTGTGATGTTGAAAATATTGAACATATTATGATTATATACTGTAATAGCAAGAACGAGGACATTTTCTTGTGAATTTTCATTTATATTTTTTTATTAAATTTTTTATATATAATTATATAATTTTATAAATAACTATAATTTTTTTCTCACCAAATCTCAAGCCCTAAAAATTAATATATATATATATATATATATATATATATATATATATATATATATATATATATATATATATATATATATATATATATATACCGGGTGGTGTGAATCGTCAAACGGCCATAGGAAACTCAATGGGAAATTTTAGATTGTTGAATTGCTGCTTCCCTAATTATTTTAGATCAAAAGTCATAAAAAAATATTTATAGAGGACTAAATTCTAAATTAAACACAAATGTTAAAACCATTCTACCAATCAAATTATACTTCAAAATTTTGCAAAAATATAATAGATTTTTCAGACCACCCCTAAAAGTTAGGCCACACGTAATACAAGAATATATTATAACGTGTGTGTTTTATCATATTAATGTCAGATGTTTGACAATTTTAATTGTCAATTTTTTTATTTTATGATTAAATTATAAACAATGAATTTTACTAAATACTACTACTACTGAACAATATTACTTTGTGAACAATAAATTATATTGTTTACAAATCGATCAATATAATGAAATGTACTCAGTTGACGAAAAATCGCATAATGTTGTATCCAGGCAATAGCGCGAACCTTTCCCTATCACTACCGGATCATTATTTAACGTAAGATATTCTAATACACTAAAATTTAATTCCATGTTAAGTTAAGTTATACAACAATTCAATGAATTCCAATATACTGTTACTGTGGTCTTTATTCCTAATAATAATATACGATAATTTCTAAACATAAAACTATAACAAATGTTATAATAAAACATGAATAAAACATTTTTATTATTGCTCTTTTCTCCTTAACTGAGTACATTTTTTAATCAACTTAATTTTTCTTTTAAATAATAAATCATAAAATTTTGGCCATTTAAATCATAAATAAATATAATATAGTTGATTTAAATATTGTCAAATATTAGAAACGTCAATATGACAAAACGCAGCACGTAATACACATTCTTTTCACGGCGTCTGGCCTGCCTTTAAGGGTGACCTGAAAAATGTATTATATTTTAGCAAAATTTTAGAATACGTTTAAGTCTTAGAACAATTTTAACAATTGTTTTCGATACATATTTGAGTCCTCTACAAATAGTTTCCCATGACTTTTGGTGTAAAATAATTAGGGAAGCAGGAATTCAACAATTTAGAATTTCTCATTGAGTTTCCTATGGCCCGTTTGACGATTCACCACCCTGTATATATATATATATATATATATTTAAGTGCATATATATATATATAATATATATATATATATAATATATATATATATATATATATATATATATATATATATATATATATATATTTAAGTGCATATATAAATGCATATTGCATATAATAAAGGCATATTTGGCTACTTTTTAAGTGCATGTTTCATGCATATTTTAACCATTTTTTAGAGTATATAATTCACTAATCATAACTTTACAGCTTGACATCTGACAACTGATGTCATACCAACATAAAAACATAATAATATTATAGAACAATAATTCGGTTTAAATTCATCACAATAAAATTTTCCCAGCACAAGTTAATAGCTTCTACGGTCCGTCCCAAACCCTTTTTTCAGTGCGTCATAGTTGTTCGAATTCTCTCTAACGCATTAAGCTAGAAGTGACAGAAAAAAACGTGAGTCGCTTATTATTATACATAGAAATTAGAAAATTAGGTATCGTTTACGGGTATTCGCATATTAAAGCGAATTCTACTTACGAACGTATAATTGGTTGGAGTTTAGAATATGCTAAATAGATATCCAATCAATTATGCATATAAATATAATTTGACACAGTTGATCTTGATAATGACAGTGACAGTACTTTCACAACAACTGATAAAATGATAATTGCCATTCGAGGTTAGTATTTTCAGACATTTTAACTACAGTGAAAATTAAATTCTGTATTTATTGTCATAAAAATATTTTAAATATTCCGAGATATACCGAGAATGAAAAAAGACTAATATTAAAATTATTAAATTAGTTTCAATTAGAAAATGAGGCTGAGTTATCTTTATTTCAGTTTCTGTCGCTCGCGAATCAGATTGTGAATTCCGGAATGATATTGAGGAAATATCTTAAACTAATACCTTTATGGGTATTTATATGTATTAAAACGGTTCTTTTTAGAACCACGACATTTTCTTGAAATGTAGGATATAATTGATACCAGCCACATATCTAGTGTAATCATTGATTTTCAAGAATCAGATTCTGAATGGGATTATAGATTGTTTGAAATATAATATTCATTTTTGTTATTCATAAAAAAGAAGGTAAACTTACATTCTGTATCTTGTTTTTTAACTAAACTCCATTAACACGATTTCATCTGGATATCGGAACTGGTAGATTAACTCAAGAATCAACTGCTTCACTATTTAAACTATTTATATTGTTTTTTTAACTAAACTTTATAACCTTCTTTCATTTGCACACCAAATCTGGTAGAATAACTCAAAAATCAACTGCTTCACTATTTAAACTATTTCCACTATTTAATGACAACTCTTCACAAAATTAAACTATTGGCTGCCACACAAACTTATCAGAAAATTCCTTATCCAAATATGACTGATTTAAATCGATATTATTTTATCGCAGGAATGTTTACTTTGATGCCTTGCAATTGTCAGTAATTTTTTTTACCTTGCAGTCAACTCTTAAAAGATTCTAGGAGGAAGCGTTATTTTAAATAAACAAACCTTCCAATTCCCTAGTGTTTGTAATAAATAATAATAAATCCATAAACAAATCTTAGCTAATTAAGCACTTTCCATGGAATGTATAAAATAGAACAGAATAGAATAGAATTATGACAAACTGCTATGCATTAAAAAAATAACCTTTTCACGTTTAGTCGATTACGATCCTGCAACTGTCAGATTTAACTAAAATGTCATGCAATAATTCTCGACATTCTTAAAATCCTATATGACGTCAAAATTAGTGACGCACTGAAAAAAGGGTTTGGGACAAACTGTACATGGCTAGCGTGTTTGTCCATTTACAATAGTATTCTATGGTTCTCACTGGGTTTATCATGCTGGATAAAGTGGTATAGGTATTTATTTTATGAAATTTTCTGAATTCATTTAACCTGTTTCATGTTAAATCCCACAGAATCCAGGTGGCGTGTTGGCCATATGCTGGTTGCATTCTCATTCTTGAGAAAATTAAAAATGGCGGTATAAAATTCCCACAGGCATTCATGACACAGACGGCTCTTTGTTGTTTGTAGACAAACCGATGATCTACGTTTGGCGGTAAACCAAATAAATAGGGAGTACGCGCCAAATCAGATGTTTCGACACGGACGACATTGCTTCAAGGATTGTAACTGCTTTATTTTAGCCTACTCGTCATATTTTCTATTTCGTCAATTTATCCCCTTTTCCCCTATTAAATTTTCTTAAAACTTATCTTAATTCCAATTATTTACAGATTTTACGTGTTTAATATAATTATTTACAAATTTAGTACAAGCCACAAAAATTGTCAAGGCCTGGTG